CACCTCCTCGCAAGCAAAGATGGTCTCGCGACTAGGAGCTATTTCTGCCATCCCACTGGGTGATTGAAATGGTTTCTTTGATGTTCCAGGAATAAAAGTCTCTGGCTTCGTACTCCTAGATGATTAAGTGACAAGGACCTTGTCCAAAGGATGTTTCTTTTTGAATAGATCTGAACTGGAGAAGCTCTGCCCATCCCCTGAATAGTCAAGGTGACCTGCTCATTGAGAGTTAGTTTTTGGATATTCCCTCTCACGTATGAAGGTGTTCGGGGGTTCCTCTGAGCTAAACAGCTTATGAGTGCCAGAGGAAGCTTTGAAAACATTCAGGAAAGAATATTTTTAACTCACCTTCTCTTATTTTTCAGAGAAGAGGGAGGTTCTCCTACTTTAACTGTTCAGTTCTAAGTTGTTTCACATTACTCTTGTTATGTTCAAATTACATACCATTACAGCCAACTATTTAAGAAATTGGGAGTGTTACTGGATACCTGACCTCCGAGTAAGTTGAAAGCATGATTAAAATCTCTTTATGGTAACCATAGATGATTTTTACATCTAGAATTTGGGACTTGTGCATGAAGAAAGTGAAGGCACTAACTATATAGTGGTTATGTAGGACTGCTTTTAAAAATACTTTTCATCAGTGGTTATGTAGGACTGATATTTTTAAATGGTGTTTTCATCAACATTCATGACAAGTAACGGATCTGAGCAGTACCTTTTTTACAGCATGAACAGGAAGACCGCTAACTGTGACAGAGGGGATGAAAATGGCGCAATGAAAAGGAGGCAATATGACTTCTTAGTTGCATTGGAGGACAAGTAGGGGGAGACAGTGGCATGACTTACAGCTCTTTATTTGAGGGTGTTCAACACTGGTGCATTGAAAAGTAGTGCAACACATGCTTTCCAAGAGATACCTTTGGAGACATGTACGTTGTTGTGCAGATGGGGCAGCATGGAAAGCCTAGCACATAAGCCAGTTACAGAAGTCTTTTCCAATATGGATCTGCATTAAAAATACTGAATTTTCTTATAGACAAATATGCATATGTTGAGCCCTGACATACTCCAAACAACAGATGACAACGCACAGCCTCTGAACTGTTCAAAATTAAGTTTAGCTGAAGAAAATTCATTATTGATTTACTTTTGGCCTTACACACATCCTGTTGATATTGGTGCAGAGTACCCATGCAGATAAAAAGAATGGAAAAAGTTCAGATTTTGTGTGCATAATAAAAAAGAAGAGGAAGGCAGGTGGTGGGCCATTGTCATGGTCACAAGAGGAGGGGAAAGAGATTGAGTCCAAAAAATGCCAAGTGAAATTGCACTGAATGCTACGATGGCCAAAGTGTAGTAAGAGGTATGGCTGTAAGCATAGTGCATTGCCCTTAGTGTCAAAGGTGTAAGTACTGGAGCAGGGCTTAACATGTTAGTGTAGCTGGTAAGATTTCCATTAGGGATTACTGTCAGTCAAGGAAAGCGTGCAAGGATTTTGGGTGGAAAGTGCTGTGCTTTCCTAACAGATCTCTAGGAAAGAGGTTGTACTGTTCCAGGTTACAGAGTCTCCAGAACTATCAGTGCAGAAGTGAATAAGGCACAACATAGTACCTTTCAAAATTCACAAAATTGTGCAATTTCACATTTACAGAAGTATATTCTGATTCAAAGGAATAAGAGCTCTTAGACTTTTTGAGTGGCTGTCTTCTGAAATGTCTGCACAAATAATTGTTCGGCTAGCTCCCTTGTGCCTTCAGCTCTGTCCCAGTACAAGCCCTGGAATCAGAGTAACTAGAACCAAATTGTTTTGAGTGCCTGAGAAACCAAATACAATGGGGACTGAACTTATAAATTTATTAATCTAGTGCAAGAGCTACTCTGTTCTGAAGATACTATTGTGCTGTGTGTATACCCTTTGAGAGGAAACTGGTGCTAAAGGAATTGCCCTTTGTGTGTTGCAAGTGCAAGAGCTCTTTTACCTCTTCTATCCAGACACTGGCAGAACAAGCAAAAGATTGTTTTATATTTTTTCCCCTTTCACCTTTCAGTGCATTACTGTGCTGGATTTTTGTGTTACTTAAATAATAATTCTTCTAATGTAGATGATTTTGAAACATGTTCCCAAACAAAAGTCTGTGAACTTTGACAATTCTGCAACTTTTTCCCTCTAGAATGGCAGCAATTCTGCTTGTACCATGGCCGAGCCGAAGTCAGTGTGTGTTTCGGTGGATGAAGTGGTCTCAAATGGTATGGATAACCAAGACATTCGACTAATGAATGGACATTTAAAAAAGGTGGACAATACTCTGACAGAAGCTCGTCGTTTCTCCTACCTACCCCGCAGACCAGCTGTGAATATTGAGTTTAAAGAACTGTCATACTCTATCCAGGAAGGGCCATGGTGGAGGAAGAAAGGTGAGGAAAACTTAATGTTTTGGCTAACATACAAGTGTTATTGCCTGTGTAGATAGTCATGATAGGTGGAATGAGTCTGTCGTGGATAGCAAAGTAAAGTGAGTAAAGGAAGTGTGTTTTCACTGTTGCCTTTGCTAGGCTTCTTGGTATACCCATTGCCTGCACGTGGCACCAGGTAACTTTCCTGGTGTATGGTCCCTTGCGCTCCAAGAAACTGTAGATGCAGTAGTTCGTACAACTGCTTATTTCTGCCTCCCAATTCTAAAGCATCTGAAGTAAACATAGTATTGCTGTGTTGCCAAATATCTGTCCTGTGATCTTGCACATCTACAATTTGTTGTTGAGGGTGGGTAGAGCAGGCAGTAGTTTAAAGTTGGAGGTGGGGGGAAAGAGGATGCTTTTTTTACTTTTGCTATTGGCTGTTTTGTGAAATGGTTATTTTTTTCAGTACTCTTTCAGAACAGCAAGCATCTCAGAATTTCAGAAGGCATTTGAAACCATGATAAAAATTATTTTCTGAAAATGCTCTGTTTGGAAGTAAATGCTGTGAGCTATGGGAATCTCATCCCATCCATGGCTCTTGGTGTTTTATGATGGTATCTCTAAGCTTACCATTTATTGTAACTGATGAAATCACTGGCTATTGCTAGGACTGAATCCGGAGGTTTAGTCAAGGACCAGGATGCTCTCGTTAGCTACTTTGCTAATAATGCACAGCAAAGAGCTCACAGTCTACAATACAGGGCATACCAAAATGACGCAGATGTTGGATGTATGTCAAGGAAGTGAAGTGTTACCTCTTTCCTCTCACAATCCAGTTTCACTTGTAGCTACTTCTGAGACAATTCTTCTGGAGTTGATTTGCTTGTGAGAGTAAGGAGGGAATATTCAGCTCTCTTCTTCATATGCTCTTGGTCTATTCCAGTTCTGAAGGGTGGGTGTGAGGTGGCTCTGTCCTTTTTCATCTGCTTTGTATTAATTCTTTTTATATCTTCATCTGCTTTACGTAGCCACATGTTTCCTAGAGAGTTTTTGTTTTTTGTGTGTGTGTGTGACTAGTCATCTCTGAAAGGAAAACTAGGTCATGCAGTAAATTCCTGCTAGCAAAAAGAAGTAAGCCCAAGAGAAAATATTAAAATCTTAAGGAGAATTTTGTGTGCTAAATTACATAATTGCTCTTCCTTGAGGATTCTCTTTTAGTAACATAAATTGGTATGGTTATGTGCTTTACTTCTTTTTAAGAGATAAGCCCCTGCCAATGCACTACTCACCTGAGCTATACTTGATACCTGTGCTTGCACTGAGTCTATAAATCCACTGGCTTACAGGTTCTACTTGAAATTGTTTCACAAAGTACATTTGCTTCTGTCTGGAAACTGTGTCATTATCACGACACCAAGGCTTTAATATTCTAAAAATGTGTGGTATGAAAAACACTAGATCTATGGCCATGGAAGTGCTGCTGTATGTGGACAGCCTGTGCATACAGTTACTCCTTTGTTAAAGGATGTGGAAACTTGAGGCTTTAATGGGTTTTTCAACATAAAAACTGTGTGCACACACCTGTCTTCTTTTAATTCTTTATTAAAATTCCACGTAGCCATGTTGTCCATAGGAGAACAACTTGGTTTGGCAGCAACTTTCGTACATTCAGATTTATTTTTTATCTTATCAGAACAAATTCAAACATTCAAGTTATTTTTCCCACAAGAAATGGAATTATGCCAAAGTGTTTTATGTAAGATTTAAAAACTTGAGGTTTTTAGCTGGATCTCTTTCTTATTGGCCAACAATTATCAAGGAGTTCTAGACCGAAAGCCTTTGTCCCCATTTGCTGACGTGTCTGAGTGACTTGGCTTGAACAAAATGGCACATCCTGACAAAATGTCCTGCTGCTGAAAAGGGCCAGTTGCAGTATTCAGCTGTAGGGCATGGCTGGCTATGGCTGTTTCACTACACTTAGATTTGAGAGAGGAAATTAAACTTTTCTATCTGTCTGTGAGCAGGAGTTCATATTCTCCCCTCCTCACCTTGTCTTGCACCATGTGTCTTTCCTTGGACCATGAAGGATGGCCTCTGAATGGCTGTGAGGCCTGCTGTCTGCCAGCAGGTCTTGGAACTCTCCTGCTCGCCAAAGATCTAAAAAAGACTTGGGGGGTTTACAGTTGGTGCCAAGCTGAACATGAACCAGAGTGTACTCTCGCTGCAAGTAAGGTAAATCACATCATGAGCTACCTTTGGAGGACATGGTCAGATGGAGGCAAGTTATTATCCTTGTCTTCTCAACGTTGTTGAGAGCCCAGCTGGAATACTGTATCCAGTTTTGGACCCTCCAGATCAACAGAGGTATTGGGAAACTGGAAAGGGTCTGCCATGAGTAAAAAGTTGGTCAGGAGACCTCCAAAGAGAGGCTGAGGAAGCTAGGCTTGTTTGGTCTAGTGGAGGGGAAACTGGGGGATGTTTTAATTCCGGTTGACAACTACCTGGAGGGTAGTTATAAAGACAGTGGAGCCAAACTCTTGTCAGTAGTGTCAGCTGATATACAAGAGCCATATTGCAGTTTGAGTGCCTTGCAGTGGGTGATAGGAAGTATGCGTTCACCAGGAGGTTGGTGCAGCACAGGGACAGGTCACACAGAGATGATGTGCTTTCTCCATGCCAGGATGTAGAAGATTTGGCTGGACAGAGCTGACCTGATCTTGCATTGGTGATTGTCTTGCTTTCAACAGAAGACTGGACTAGGCAACTTCTAGAGGTTCCTTCCAAGCAATACTTCTGTGATTCAGTGCATTCCTGACCAGATTATAGAAACCTTCTATAAACAAGCTTTCCTCCTCCCTGTTCCCTACTCCAGGGAATGACCCAATGTATTGATTTTAATACAGAAGGTTCTCTCTTAGAGAAATAGAAAGCTGAATTGTCTAAATTGTCTCAAATGAAGGTAAGGACCAAACTGTCAGATTCCTTGAATTGTTGTAGTGGTTCTGCAATAAAATTGTTTGTGTGCCATTTGGGATATCTTTATTTAAAAAGGGTGGCTTGTAGATGAATATGCTACACATAAAACTATTCTGAACGCCTCTTACTGGCTTCTCCTCCAATGGGAAACTGGGACTTTGCAATGGGTTTAATCTATCTCTGCTCAGCAAAAGGGCAATACTGGGCATTGAAACACTAGTGAATGTTCTAGCTCTGCACTCCTTGTGGGTTCTCTGTACTAAAAGGATCCATCATTGCCGTGATGTGAAATTTTTAGATTCACTTTTTTATGATAACAGTATCAGAAAACACATCCCTGAAGGCACAAAATCCAGTGGAGGAAATGCAACTGATTTTTAAAAACCAGTAAACTTGTACACGCAATCTGAAAAAAAAAGGGGTGGGGAATGTCTCTCAGTTCACATTGTTCTTGGGTGCTGGTCATGGCAATGAGCGATAAGGAATGCTGTTATGAAAATGTGCCTTTTATATCAATGGCATTTCTATTCTGAAATGGAGCTTGGAAAAAAATTCTGTTGTTTCTACATCATGCTCCATAACTGTAATGAGTTGGTTCAAACCTTTCATGAGTGTTGGATCACAAAGGGAGAAGTATAGTTTCTTTGCAAAGACAATTTGTGCCACAATGTTGGAGAGAAATTCAGCTAAAGAGCAACAACAAAAAAAAATGTACTCCCTTCAGTAAAGCAGTATTGCAGAGTAATGTTAAGGTTAGGCCCTAAATTAACAAAAGGAGGAATAGTTAGTAATGCTGCCGTTGTGTTCTGTACTTAGCTGTATTGTTCAGGCAATGAGACTCGTGCTATGTAACATCATTTAATTTTTATTAAAAGCACAAAGAAATGTGATTTTTGCATTGCTTGTCAACAACAAAGAAGCTAAATAAGCCATCGTAGACTCAATTTAGAATTTTTCATTGATTTGTGTCTCAGCCTTAAAATGCCTAATTTGTCTATTACATCTCATTTTCTCTTTAAAAATAAGGAATGGCATTTTCGTTCTCAGATTTATATGATAAATGCTGTTCTACTAATTTTAATGAAGTTTTATCAGATTCATAGCAAAGATGGGTATGACTGTGAACTCGATTCTTTCATGGTGTAATTCCTCTTGAAGTCAGTGGTATTAACAGGGCAGGAATCTGGCCGGTGCGTCCTTGATCAAAGCAGCTGTATCTGACCCATTCCTTTCAGTAGGAGTTCTTGCCAATATAGGATTTGGAAGACGTTAGAGAGGTAAAAGTTTCAGAAGGTCTTGGATGACTTTGGCATTTTCCTCATAAAGCTTTTACGGAATTAGTCAACTGTTAGAATCAACTGTTTCTTCGGTTTTGAAGGAAAGAGAGTGGTAAGTGACTTCATCCAGATCTTGTGAGGGGATCTTCTTGTAAGATGAAGATGAACTGGCAAAGCTAGAAAAAGGAAACTTCAGCACAAAAGAAGTAATAGAGCTGCTTAGTCCGAGAATGCTTTCTCCTTTCCTTTAGGAAGAGGGAGCTGACTGGCTTGGAGGGGAAGAAAAAGAGGAGAGTCCTCCATCAGGTCCAGTATGGGCTTCTTAAATGAGGAAAAGCAATATCCACAGATCTTCAGAACAAACTGTGGCCAGAATTTCAGTGTCTTGTCACAAAGCCATTTGCCTAAGGGCTGAGAAGGAGATCTTAAAGTGGATCTTATCTTGGCTTCTGAACTGTTTAAACTGCAGTTTGAAAAGCGAACCACAAAAACATATATTGGTTTTACCAGTTTATAGAAAAATTATAGATGCATGGGTTTTAATTCTAGACGGCCTGAAAACTGTATGCAAGGGGATTTTGGAGAAAGGTCCGTGCCTTAGCTTTCTGCCATTTTTGTTAAAGGCGCCATAAAGTAATCTAAACAGAAGGAGTAGTTTGAGGACAAAATTAAGGAGAGGGCACAAAAAGTACTTTGGAGCCTTCTCTCTTCATCAAATTCATTTAGTTTTACTTTGAAAAGATATATACATTTTGTATACCTGCC